TTTTTTTTTTTTTTTTTTTTTTGAATGCGTAAGTGAAAGTTGTAAAACAAGTCTTCTTCAATGAATTTATTCATTCTAATACAGAAGAACATCAGTATAATATACCATCATTATTCAGACTCGTCCTTTGCATGTACATGAGTCTTTTCTATGTGAAGAAACATTATTCAGTACCTCATCATGCCTTGACAATGACTAGTGGTTTACAGCACTAGTTAAGTTTATCAGCATGCTTCATGTCTGTACTACATTCCTGCTGTGCACCTTTCCACCATGTTCAGTGTAAAATTCCATCATATCCATGGACACCGCATTTTTTGCCTGCAATCTGGCAGCCAAATGTGAGCGCATCCTGTAGGCTGCCCCCTGCAGAAAAGAGAAAGAAACCAGCTTGATTTATATACACAACTTACAATAACACCTTACTTCTTTGTGTTTCAGAATCAGACCTTCATCCTTACCGTTTGAAAGGGAATAGATTACAGAAGCATTGAAGGTATCTCCTGCTCCTAGTGTGTCTACAAGCTTCTCAGGCGGGAATGCATCTGAATGGATGATTACACCATCGGGACCCATGGCATCCGCTCCCTTTTCCGCCCAGGCACAAATGAGGGTAGCTCTAGACACACAACCAAACTCATCTAAACACATGGAACAGCTAATATTTCAAAAGAACATACTCTTAAACAGCGATTAAGAATAGACACAGTCAGAGTTTTTGGAACACCAATGACATCTAGCGGTCATTTTAAACCACTGACTCACCCTTTTCTCAGACGACCATAGAAGCCCTTCAATGCAGCAGCAGCTGAGGTAAACCCAAAGTGCTGGGCCACATCCTTACTAACAAAGACCTGATTGAAAGCAGTGACAGATAAACAGGCTATGTAGTGTACAAGCATGCCTCAAAGCTTATCAGCTGCCCTGCATTCATAAAGGCACACTCAGATTTCAACAAAAATTAAATGCACTGCTCCTTTAAATTTTATGCTTCTTGCGTGGTCATTTATTAAATATTTTGTTGAATATATATTTATTACATATTTTGACTTCAGCTCCCAACAGTTCAGGATTCTCAGCTTTGTTTATTTTAAGATTTTTCAAAATCAAAGCCAACAAATGTCGCTGTACAAGAGAAATAATTGTAGAATGCAGATTGTGTATGGACCTACTTATAAGTCATATATTTTCACATTTTCAAATATATTTTATATTTTTTTCTTATTTAAATATATTTTATATTTTTTGTTGTTGTTTTATCAAAAATACAATAAAAACAGTAATATTGAGAAATATTATTACAATTTTAAATAACTAGTAGTAGTATTTTTTAATGTCATTTTTTCCTGTGATCACAAAGCTGAATTTTCAAGCTACAAAATGGTTGGTTAATATTTTTGTGGAAACTGTGATTCTTTGATAAATGCAAAGTTCAAATTTATTTTCATTTGCAATTGCATAGCATTTATTTGAAATTTAAATATTTTGTAAAATTCTAAATGTCTTTACTACCACTTTTGATAAATGTAATACTTCCTTATATAATCATAATAATAAAACAATCACACTGACCCCAAACTTTTGAACAGTAGTATATGTATAAATTATAATGTATACATTTAAATAAAATATTTTAAATTAATTTTGCAGTTCAAAATGTAAATATGTTGTGTGATCTGCCAGTCCAAAATCAATTTACAAAGAACATTTGACTACGTGGTTTAACATAATGTGTTTTATTCATGTACAGTTTGTTTGAAATATAGTAAAATCATACCAAATCACCAAGAGGAAAAAGCTGGTAGAGGGGTTCCCTGGTTTTCTCGATTTCCACAGAGATGGTGATTCTGTTCTTCTCTTCCCGTTTGCTGTTATACTCTCTCGCCCTCTCAATCATCTTCACTTGTTCGTCAGCATTACGGCCCTGACAATGCATTCATAAAACAATCAGCTCTAGTTCTCTACTTGTGGAATAAAGCTATTAAACACAGATCAGACGGAACTAAATAGTGTTTCAGTGTGACTAGTGTGAACTTTATATTCACATATTTGGTGGACACTCTCACCTCCCAGTGGATCCACTTGTACTGGCTCAGGTCCACCTTTGAAAAATCTTCTACAGAAACATCTGGCAAGTTTCTGATTAAACCGAAAGAATAGCTGATGAAAGTTCTCTTGTATTTTAGACTACAACAATCAGTAAATCATGATTGTATTTTGTGTACATGATAGGTTACTATCCATTATTTTGACATGATCTGCTGTAATCATATAATACAAAACTGTTTACAGTAACAAACTGAATCAGTGAAAGGTCTGTATAGCGGAAAAACCCTAGCTTATTGCCTTAGACCTATTGTCATCAGTACAGGCAAATAGTCAGCTTTGAGCTGTGATTACAAGATAATTGTGATTATAAACCAAAGACTGTTTCTCAGCAAAGAGGGAAAAGGTTTTGGAAGTTCTCAAAAAAAAAAACAGGTTTTAGAGACTAGAAATATTATTCAAGGCTGAGATGAAAATAAGTGTTGTTTTATATATTAGTTTGCTACAAACAAAGCAAATGAAATTAAAGGATAATGTACATTCAGCCAGTCTTAACCACAAAAATAAACCTCAACCGGGTGATTAGGACTTTATCCGTTTCTGCCACGGGATAAAAGAATTAAAAATGTAATTGTGACTTTTTATCTAACAATTCAGATTTTTATCTTAAGAAGAAAAAAACTCTTTTGAGATATAAACTCACAATTATGAGAAAAAAGTCAGAACTCCAAAATATAAATGATTTTTTTTTCAGACTCAGACTTTTCCTTACAAATTCTGAGTTTAATTCCATGGAATTAAAAATAAAAAAAGTTACTTGCAACTTTTTTCTCACAATTGCTAGTTTATATCTCACAATTCCAACTTTTCTTCTCAGAATTGTGAATCTATCTATCTATCTATCTATCTATTTATATATGTATATATATATATATATATATATATAAAGTCAGAAATGCGAGATGTTAACTTTATATTTCACAATTCTGATGAAAAGTCCGAACTGTGAGATAAAAAGTCACAATTATCTTTTTTATTTTTATTCAATTTGTATTTTATTTTTTAGAAACAAGCTGACTGAATGGCTGACTGGACATTATGCCACTTATTACACGGCTGCTTACCAGATCAATTATATAAAGATGTGAGCTTCATAATAATGTAAAATTCATAATTTATTTATATAGTTTAGTTGTTTTTATATAACACATACAATATATATTATATAACATATACAATATTTGGCCATAAAATGCAGCAATTGATCTGTCAGAATCAAGTATTTCAGACCGCCGTGGAATAAGTTAGCTAGTTAGTTAGTAAGCTTTGACATTGTGTGCTGTTGTGTGTTGTTTTTAAACGATTGAATAAAATAATCTTGTATAAAACAGACATCTAATTGTGAAAATAAATTAACTGAAAATAACAAATCCCCCCCCTACCCCCAAATTCAAGCATTCAAATTAATGCATGCAAGGTCAAATTGTCATGATTTGTTAATGGCAGCTACTTTAAAACTAAATTATTGTCAATTACAGCAGTGCCACTGCGGAAAGACTTTCTCAGATTATGTTTGAGAATTAGAAATTATCATTTACCAGGTAGCCATCTAACTTTGGCTATGTTATGATTATTGTGACTTTGGATGCTACTCTTACGTGTCCGAGAGCACGACAGTGCGAGAGCCATTGGTGGGACACACCACACAACAGGCACACGGGGTTTCACCCCACTGCTGCCAAGCCACACCAGATATGTCCACCCCACGCCGTGCAAAATCCCCCACGATGAAACTAGTGCGGCAAACAGAGAGGTATTGCAGTGACCCATATACACTACTGAGTGATTTGGGCAGGAAACATATAACAGGCTCAGAAAGTGTGCCACACTGAACTTTGAACCATACACCTTTAGTGCACCCTTTAAACCACTTTGAACAGTTAGTATTTTTTTTCGTTTTGATGTGATCTGCTGCGACAGCCGTCCTGTGAGCAAAGAGCTTCATAGTACTTACACACAAACCTGTTCATATGCAGAATTGTACGGCTTCCTGTCGTCACACTGCTGATTACTACAGAGGCTGGAAAGGAGCATGCAGCATGCTCCAGAAGAAGAGAGATGTCAATCTTGTACATTTGAAAGTCATTCAAGATGAAGCTAGAAGAACAAATTAGCAAGAAAAAGTATGCAGTGTATGTAATCTAAAGTTGTGTGTGGGATAGGGAAGTGTATTTCCGCTGATATTGAAGTTGCAGGAGTAAGAAAAGATGAAAATCCATCCAGCAAAGAGTCTTCAGTGTCACATGTTTTTTTCAGAAATCATTCTAATATGATGATTTGATGCTCAGGACATTTCTTATTATTAATAACGTTGAAAGCAGTTGAGCTACATCATAATTTTGTGGAAACTGTGATACACTACCATTCAAAAGTCTGGGAAAAGTAAGATTCTTTTAAAACAAATTAATACTTTTATTTAGCAAAGATGCATTAAATTGATCAAAAGTTACAGTAAATATATTTATAATGTTACAAAACATTTATTTTTCAAATAAATACAAGATTCAAAGAATCGTGAAAAAAAAATTTTTGGTTTCGGCAAAAATATTAAACAGTGCAGCTGTTTTCAACATTGATAATAATAATAATAAATGTTTCTTAAGTGCTTAAATCAGCTATTTTTGAATTAATTCTGAAGGATCATGTGATACTGAAGTCTGGAGTAATGGCTGCTGAAAATTCAGCTTTGCTTCACAGGAATAAATTGCAATACATATAATAACATACAATAGAATAATGAATAATAAATAACAACAGAAAACAGTTATTTTAAATTGTAAGAATATTTTTCAATATGGCTGATTTTACTGTACTATACTTTTGATCAAATAAATAGCCTTGCTGAAAAATAATCTATAAAATTATATATATATATAGATATATATATATAATGTATATATTACCCTGAAAATGTTGTTGCATATTAGTAGGTAGAAAACACTTACTCAGCTACTGGTCCAGGAGCCAAGGACCCCATAAATGCACACGGGGCCCCAAGCAGAGACAAAACTGTGCACGTGTTTGATGCATTTCCTCCCCTCTGCCATCTCTGAGACAAACACCTACCAACCAGCTGCACGTTATTTTATAACACCTGTAATGCAACATTAACTACAGTGCTATAGCAAAATGCTCTGTATGATCAGACTGGTTATGCGTTTGGAACGCTAACGCAAAAACTGCATCAAGAAATGAATAGTAAGTTTATCAGAATTTCTCACCTGGTATCAGTATCTTCTTCCGGGTATTTATCCACAATATTTATGATATCCAGACACACCAACCCAATGCTGAGTATCTTTTTGTCTCCCATATTCTCCCTGAAGAAAGAAACACTGAGCTATGGACTTCAGACGAAAGGTCATTACGTTACACTGTTCCGCACAGGAGCAGGAGAGCGTTTATCTTTCAGAGAATGGGAGAGCGTAAACATGGGCACGAAGTCTGACGGCTTTTACCGAGTGTGGCCGAAAGTGTCAGAACGACAATTTCCGGTTTTTATCGAGTGCAGCCGAAACTGTGCTTTCCGTTACGTTTTTTGTAGCAAGTTCAATATTGTGTATCTTTTGATCACAAATCATGCAAATGTGAATCTCACAGATGAAGAGGTAAAAGGTAAGAACATCTTTTTATTTACTTATTTACAATTTATTTACCTGTTGAAGTCTCAAAGTATAACCCAGACAGGGTTATAGGTGAAAAAAAAATCTTATTATTTTATATAATATTTCATTTCATTTACTCGGTTTTATATCTATTGCATGCTTTTACTAATCATACATGCTCTTCATTTGCAGGGGTGCTGTTCTACTGCATCTCTCCAGCTAAAGAACATGCTCTCTGCCTGCAGATGGCGCTCAGCTGCAATGCAAATGTCAACAATGTTTCTAACTCAGGGAAGCCACTGCTTGTGTTCTCCTGTGAGAATGCAAAGGACTGTGAAGACCTCTGCATTAGCATTTTGGAGAAAGGAGCTGATCCAAATACAATAGATCAGGTTTGAGATCTGTCCTAAAATCATAGTTCAGATTAATGTCCCTTATATTTTTGACCCAACAAGAATCAAAATTTTAATCATAGATGATTCAAAGATCTCTTTTACAAAGATTTAATATTACAATAACCTTTATGGCTCATATAGTATGTAGCTGCCGTCATAGGCAACTCTCATATATTTCAGTTCATAATATGCACTTTACAGTTAAAAGGTCAATAAATAGTTAAAATGTTCAGAATAATCATTAGAATAAATAAGTAATATATTTTTGTTAATACATGTCAATTCATTTCATATTATTCAGCTAAAACCATAGAAAAAGAGGGGAACCTATTTTTTTGTTCCGCTTGGGAATTATTTAATTGTTGCTATCAGAATAGTTTTACCGGTGCACTACAAGTAGAAGAGCCACACGAGAAGAAGAAACTGTAACCCTCCAAGTTTATTCCTCTTGAGTTAGAGAGGCCAATGAGGTATGTGTTTTATCGTGTTAATTGCTTTGCCGTATGTGAGCATGTGTAAGTTACGTGACCGTGTGTTAATGTATAATTAGCCAATTAAGTGTATTTTCTTATGTGTTGAATGTGTACTTTATTTATTCGTTTTGTATGTATTTTTCGTTTATTATTATGTGTAAAACACCACTTTTAGAGGGTTAATTTAAGTTTTATGTATTTCCTTTCGTAGTTCTGACGGCATTGTTGGGGCATAAAAGGGCTACAAGACTAGCATGTACAAGACATGTTGAAAACTCGTGTCCAAATAAATGTCTGTTAAAACCAAGAACGACCTGAGCCTTTGATTCAACTCGAGGGGAGTAACATAGTATGATATAGTGATAATATGAAGCTCATAGTAGGATGAAAAAAAAGAACACCTAAAAATGAATTCAGAGCAATTTGGTGCAGTTGCTAATATTTATATGGCAAAAAGTATGATGAAATTTTGATTGCTTGTAATGTAAATCAATGAGATCTTTATAACAGTGTCACAGACTACTTACATAAAATGTCTCCCAATAATATTCTTTGTAAGATGATATTTAAATGTTTCGCTTTATGGTCAAAGTGCTATAGTTTTTATTGTGGGGGCAAAACATAATAGAATACAGTGATGACTGAGAGATGGAAAAAAATGTTCCTTAATATGTATCATATTTGATACTCACATTTTAACATGAATTTGAAATACACAACCTGATGAGGGACGTTTTTAGAATAGTACTAAAAGGCCCTTTAATTGCTAAAAAAAAGTAGTAACTATCGATCAGATGACAAAAAGCATGTAGTTATTTGTGTGTACAACAGGTTTTTCAGCGAAGTTTTGGACATATTGATAATTTGGAGTCCTTAGAAATTTTCATATCAACTATGATACAGTAGTAGTTCAGCAAGAAAATGTGGATTTTGATGGAGTTGAATCAGAATATTTGTCATGTTTTGTCTCCCCAAAGGTGACACGATGCTCGGCGCTCATGGAGGAATCTAAGGCTGGTGCTGTGAAGCTTGTCAGAGCCATTTTACAAAAAGGATAGAATCCTGACTTGCTTGATCAAGAAGGACGGTGTGCTGCCCACTTTGCTGCAGAAGGAGGTTTCCTTGAGGTTATTCCATGGCATTCTGAATTTGCACAAAATTTTCCATTGTTTAACTTGCAACAAAGCAATGGCCACAAAGCTGCCCTGAAGGAGATTAAAAAAAAGCAGAGAAAATGCATGTGAAGCTTTCTGCGCCTGATGCTGTAAACCCCAACGAACTCTGGGCCGTCACCCTTCACGACTGGTCTTGCGAACATGAGGCAACCTAGCGCAGAGCATTTGAAACTGCTGAGGGACTTGACAAACCTGTTGAAAACATTTCTGTGGAGAATTTTGTGTCTTCACTTCAAGCGCATCAAGCTCCTGTAAGTAATGAGAACCTGCAAAGGATCATCCTGGAACATGACAAAAACCGTGAAAGTGTCATCAACGTAAATTACTTTTTCAAAGGCCTCAAGTACCTTCAGAAGGCCTTTGTCATCTCATCCTACGCTCCTAAGCAGGCTAAGAAGGGAAAGGGTGGCAAGGAAAAGAAGAGTGGCAAATCTGCCTCATCATTGCCCATATGCACAATGCCACCTGAGCAGATCTCGATAAGAGAGGACAGTGGACTACCTAACTACATGATCGAGAACTACCAGCCGTTCACTGACACCAAACGTTTCAACCCAGACCGGCCTCCAATTCACCCCATTGAGAATGACTTGGCTTGGTATATCGATGAGCCTGAAAAGATCTATACCAACATCAATTACTGGGTGAAGACTGGAGATCTAGAATCTCTCAGCCTGGCGTTTACCCAACAAGTGCCTGTTGATGTCAAAGAGCAATTCTTTAAGACGCCACTCATGACGGCGTGTAGGTGTGGCAACTGCCAAGTAGCTAAATTCCTGTAATGCTACTAAGAGGTAATGCTACTAAGAAAAATAAAGATTTACACATTTAATGTATTTGGAGGACCGTTAGACTGTGTACATTTTAAAACATTATGTTTCTTTGACTATATAGGGCTGATGTCAGTGCAGTTGGACGCCCCTCCACCATGATTGCCATGCAGGTCGTGTAGACATTACCATCATGCTGGTGCAATCTGGAGCCGTGGTGGATGCAGTGGCAATGAATGGAGCAACTCCACTCATGAGAGCTATTGAAAGCTGTCGATTCAGCTGTGCAGAGTATCTCATCAAAGCTGGAGCCAATGTCATGGCAAAAAACAAGAGAGGTGCTGGGTTTGATATTGAAATACTATTTTGATTGGTTTCGGTATACTATTGTTCAAAAGTGTAGTGTCAGTAAGATTTAAATTAAGAATTTAAGATTTAAGAATTTTTGAAAGAAGTCTCTTATGCTCACCAAGGATGAATTTATTTGATTAAAAATACAATAAAAACTGCAATATTGTGAAATATTATTATGACTTAAAATAACTGTTTTCTATTCTAATAAGTTTTTTAAAATGTAATTTATTTATGTGATGCAAAGCTGAATTTTCAGCATCATTACTCCAGTCTTCAGTGTCACATGATCCTTCAGAAATCATACTAATATGCTGATTTGCTGCTCAAGAAACATTTATTATTAATGTTGTTGAAAACAGTTGTGCTGCTTAATAATTTTGTGGAAACCATGATAAATTTTTTCAGGATTCAGGAATAGCTTTTATTTGAAGTATTTGAAACAGTAGTGTATATCTACAACTACTTGTATAATTTTTCCCATTAAAAAAAAAATGAAATACGTTTGTTCACAGAACAAAATTGCTTGGACATCGCTATAAATTATGGCGATGCGAGAATCATTGGCTTGCTCATGGCCAAATTCAACAGAAAGGACAAAGAAAGGAAACCAGAACCAACATTAAAAACACCCTTTTCAGCACAAGAAAAGGTGAATGGGAAAAATTCCTTTCTTTCTATAGCTAGAGTTGGGATTTTTAATGATTTTTAATTCTATTTTCTGTAGATGGGTATTCGGTCACCAGCACGATCAGTTTCAGCAGCTGTGAAAAAAGACCTGAGAGACAATTTCATAGTTAAGAACCCAAAGTTCACCATTAGAAGTGGCACCAACAAGTCTGACATCAGCTTTGTTCCCAAAACCGTAAGACATTAAAACACATAGATAGATAGATAGATTGAAAATTTCTGATGTTATTTTGCATTATAGCTTTGGGGAAGACATCTCACCAACAGTCCACAACACACTAAGAAGAAGGGAACACTTTGACAAAAAGACGACTCGCAAGGACTTCATACACTTTAACAAGAGCATCCCAGAGCTGAATGGGACTGAACGACTGGGGAGGAATAAGAAAAGGTGAATGGGAAAAAATCCTTTCTTTCTATAGCTAGAGTTGGGATTTTTAATGATTTTTAATTCTATTTTCTGTAGATGGGTATTCGGTCACCAGCACGATCAGTTTCAGCAGCTGTGAAAAAGACCTGAGACAATTTCATAGTTAAGAACCCAAAGTTCACCATTAGAAGTGGCACCAACAAGTCTGACATCAGCTTTGTTCCCAAAACCGTAAGACATTAAAACACATAGATAGATAGATAGATTGAAAATTTCTGATGTTATTTTGCATTATAGCTTTGGGGAAGACATCTCACCAACAGTCCACAACACACTAAGAAGAAGGGAACACTTTGACAAAAAGACGACTCGCAAGGACTTCATACACTTTAACAAGAGCATCCCAGAGCTGAATGGGACTGAACGACTGGGGAGGAATAAATTAAATGTCTGCTTTGCATTCAGAGCTACAGTCTGTCTTTTAATTTCTGACAAATTAGTCGTTCCCAGACTTGTACGTTTTGTCATTTGAGAAAAAAATGAAAAATAGGTAAAGAAGGACCACAATATAAATCCCTTTTCTTGATAGTGGATAAAAATAACCTTTCATGGTCAGTCAATGAGATGCACAGTGGTCACCTTAGTTTGCTGCCATTTGGGATACTGCTATACAAACCCCTGACTGAGAGCACCACCTGCTCTATAAGCCTTTTTCCTTAATGCTTCTCCTGTGACTTTGGCTCTAATCACCAACCCCCACTGAATACAGGAAAAGGAGATGACAGTCACATATTTCAAGGTAACACATTAATCATTGTAGGTGATTGTGTCATTCTGATTGATACATGCATGTACACATGCATGTTTTAAATCACATTGGCCAGTAGGGGGCAGTCAGATACAATCATGTATTACGCATCATTTTAACTGCAGACAATGTTTTGGTTTACAAGAACACAAGAATAATAGCCTACTTATATGTTTAAAGATTAACACGAGAATTGTGTCTGGATGTGTTACAGGGAGAAACACTGAAAACTTTATTTTTGAATGTAGATGTAAAATATTGTGTACAAGAAACAATGTTCACAGCACAGAGGTGTCCTACTAGGATGTGACCCTGTTTAGTAGTGTTTAAAGGAATAGTTCACCCAAAAATGAACGTTTGCTTAAAATGTACTCACCCTCAGTTGAGTTTGTTTCTTCATCAGAACAAATTTGGAGAATTGTAGCATTCCATTACTCGCCCACTAATGGATCCTCTGCAGTGGTGACGTCAGAATGCATCAATAATCCATAATAACACGTTCTCCAGTGAAAAATTATTTCTTTCTCATTTGTTTAGAACTGTTTTGGACTTTTGTCACTTGTAAACAGTGTGTGATCTGTGCATATTTATCTTCTAATTGAATATTACAGATTAATGGACTATAGAAGCAGTGGTTTGGAGTTAAAAATGTCTTGCTGGATTTGTTTCTTACAAACATGCAGCTTTTCACTTCTCAAGATGTTAACTGATGGACTGGAGTCCAATCTATATTCTAGATAAGGTGAGTACATTTTCAGCAGATCTTCATTTTTCTTTAATAAGACCCTAGAAATCAAACAGGACACTCTGTGTTAAATATGGAATGTTTTAAACGCCCCAGCAACTACATAGCAAGTTTTGCATGGAAAATGTAGTTTTCAATGTTGTTCATCTCCATTGAATGTAAATTCTGGAAAGCTCAATAGAAATTCACAACACCTGCACATTGTTGTTCCCAGGCTCTGACTCGGCACATTCACATGAAAGGAGACACAGTGGAGTCAGCTGAAACTCTATCTGTCATTCCATACTGTGCAACTGGATGTGATGATTGTTTTAGTGGCCGTTGCAGAAAGGACAGGACACTAAAGATGTCAATTCTTCTGCGCTACAGACAGAAACAGGGCAATCAATGGACAGGTTGATTTCAATATTAAATCAATTCAGTCTGTTAATTCTAGACTGTTTAATAAGCGCATGGCCATAAAAGGATGAGGAAATGATAATCGGCTCCAGTGCAGGAGGTAATTGCCTTGATGATGTGGCACTCACAGACACACTGACGTCAGCTCCTAATCTTTAGCTCCAAAGGAAAAAGGAAGAGGAGGGGGAAAGGAGAAAGGTGTACCAGAAATCAGGAGGGAGGAATATTTAGAAAAGCAGATGACAAGTATCATTAAGTCCAAATGGTATTGTATGGCATTGTTTTTTAGGACACAATTAGTTTTAAATAAATTGAAATGTATTTATAATTCCAGTCTTGAATGCTGATTGCTCAAAACAGCATTCTAGTGACTAGGTTATTTTCATAACCTTATATCATACAGTGTGATTTCATAACTCACAACTGTGATTTTATTTCACATAATCGCAATTTTATATCTCGCGATTATGACTAATTTCTCACAGTATGACTTTATATTTCACATTTTGAATTTCTTTTACTATATTTAACTACTGCCTTTTTCATTATTAATCTGAGGTGCACTCTTAAAAGTAAAAGTTCTTATTGGCATCTGTAGTTCCATGAAGAACTTTCACATCCAAGTACTCTTAAAATTAAAGGTTTTTATTGGCATCTATGGTTCCATGAAGAACCTTTAACATCCATGGAACCACTGAAGGTTCTTTATAGTGGAAAAGGTTCTTTAGATTGTTAAAATGTTCTTGAATAGGGAAAAATTACTGGAAAAAATTGTTCTTCTAAGAATTGTTCTCTGAGAAGTTCTTTGGGGAACCAAAACTGGTTCTTCTACAGTATCACTGTGAAAACCAATTTTGCAACCTTTATTTTTAAGAGTGTAGAACCTTTCCATAGGACTAAAGTTTTTTTGTTTTTTTGTGGTCATAAAAGGTTCTTTAGAGTTTTAAAATCATCATCATGGGATCAGATATGGAACCTGTATTTTAAAGAGTGTGGAAACAGGCTTTCACAGTAAATAGTATTGTGCAGTAAATTCTAGTATTGTCCATTCTGTGCCCTTAATATAGCACAACGTCTCATATATTTTGGTTAATCCTATTATGGTCTAAAATACCAAATTGTAAGAGACCATCATAATTAATGCTTAATTTGCATATTAAAGTTAGTTGATCCTATCTGACCTCTTCGGGTACTTGAGAGTTAGTCATTAAGTCTCCATGCTGCTGTAATATGCTGGATGTCATACACATGTGACTTATTAAGATGCGTATATGATATTTAGAAACGTAGCTCTCTGTAAATGTGCCTCTTTTTATTATTTCACATGAATTTTCTCCTATATAATTATCTACATCTACAGCAGTGTGATTAAGCCTACACAAATATGGGATATTGTTTCTGCTGCTTATTCACAGTTCAGCATGCAATCATCGATGGTAGGCAAATGATGAGGTTAATGACAGATTTCCCACTTTTTTACCATGAGCAACATAGGATAAGGACTCTTTCTGATGTGTTGTGGAGGTGGGTTCTGGCAGTGCTAATTGACAAGAAAGACTGAAGGGAATCTGGCTCAAATAAATGAGCTTTAATTGGTAACAGTGTGGGTCCTGTAAATTTGCGCTTGTGTCAAAGAATTCAGGATTAATCATCACTCGCACTGCTAGTGCGAACAGAAAGGAGCTGCAATGGTATGTAAATCACATCTCATAATAAAAATGAAATTCACAACCTAATCTGAATTTAAATGTCATCAAGACATCAATATGCCAGACAAAATAAGCAAATAACTTCATTCTGGATGATAGCGGCATCTTCAGACAGTACAAACGAGACTTGGGTGCTAAAGACGTGCATTTTTTTAGCCGTAATAATCTTGTAAGTGTAAATCAATATATTTAGCAGGGTTTCCTGTTTGTTGGATGTTGCACTAACTAGCATTACTGTCTCATTTGTATGTGCTGAGTCAATATCGGCGCCTTCCAGCAGTCCTTTTCTCCTCTGCTGTCTAAAAGGGTGTGTGTGGTTTGTTGTACAGTGCATGTTTAAGCAGTCGAACTGCTCTTTGTCTCTTCGCCGGACAGTATTTTATCTCAGAAGATTCTTGACCTTCATCTGTCCTGCTGAATTAAGTATCCAGATTTTATGTCTTGATTTGTTTTAATGTAGTGAAGCACTTTGCCAGATTATTTTGTACTACTAGCCTACTGTTTTTTTTCTCTCTTTCAGGTCCTCCTTTGCCAACGTCAAACACAATAACCTTGCCTAACACATCCTCTTCCACAGAAACACACACACATACAAATACAGACCGAAAGAACAGTAAGCAACAACCTTTATAAGTCCAAAAGCCATTAAACAATCAAATAAGTGCTATTGATCCGTGCCCCTTATCTGAATCTGTAAGTCTCTATAGCTAAAGCACTTTTATCTGATCTTGCTCCCATTAGAAGATCATGGAGACTTGATGCTTGGGGCAAGAAACAAACAAGTCATTTTTTCGTCTTTTAAAAATATTGGAAATACAAAAAAGCCAACCATTTCAAAACACACTGTAAATATAGCTCACATTTACACTGGTCTCAACAAGGGGAACATCTAGGGACTTCTATTCCACTTCATATTTTACTCTGAGAGCATTTTGAATAGATTAATGGAATAGTTCACCCAAAAAATCTACCTGTTTGCAATGAACAAATCCATCAAGACATTTTTAACTTCAAACCATTGCTTCCATCTAAAATACAAAATATTGCTGTCTCTTGTGAAAAACTTGTCTTGTCTGAAGAAGCGAAATATGCAAGCACTGTTTACAAGTGAAAACAGTCCAGAACAGTTCTAAACAAATATGTTGGGGGATTTTGATATGAGAGGACAACAGGGGATGGACTTTTCACTGGAGGAAGATTTGTTGAATTATGGACTGGTATTTTGGCCAGAAGTGATGGTTTAAAGTTAAAATACCTTAATGATGGATTTGTTTATTATAAACACACAGCTTTTCACTTCACGAGATGTTACTTGATGGATTACTTGTGGATTATTGTGATGTTTTTATTAGTTGTTTGAACTCTCATTCTGACGGCACCCAGGGGATCCATTGCTGACCAAGTGATGTAATGCTACATTTCTCCAAATCTGTTCCGATGAAGAAACAAATTCATCTACATCTTGAATGTCCTGAGGGTGAGTACATTTTCAGCTACTTTTCATATCTGGGTGAACTATGCCTTTAACAATAAAATATTTTTTTCTTCCCATTTTCACCATCATACTTCTTTCTATATAGTATCCATTAATGAGGGCGGGGACATTTACACTCACACAGCGGCTGTACGGGCACGCCCTAGTGTTAAGGGTCATTATGACGTCAGAGGGGCACGCCATCTTTGATGAGGGATGAGGGTTTTTTTTCTTTTCACTCACTCACTCCAGAGCTGTGTGCACGCGCATTAGGTGACCCAAATCAGTGCTGAAGGAGGCAAGGCGATACTTACATCTCTAACGTGGTTCATCGAGTTCGAGGTAGGTGTTTTGATTTTTTTTTTGCACAGCTTTTTGCATGAGCTGTCTCAACGTATAGTTTAACTCCCACAGGTTCACTTCGTTATTTTTTTGATAGTGTAATTTGCATTTTTATGTTCGATGAAGTTCCGGAGAGATATCAGAGCTGTAACTGAGCGATTCAAAAGCGTCGGGTCGAGCTCATGCCTGTTGTGTGAATTTCAGGACCGCGGACAGCGCTCATCAAGAGACGCCCCCGCCAAAACATTAAAAACAGACCGAACAAGGACGAAACTAGTTATTTTAGCATTGAATTAACGCTTTCGTGGAAGTCAAACGTCAGTAGTGCAAACCAACAGTCTTCTTTTGAATTAATCATAGATGTGTCCTAGTTTTTGAGCTGATTGAAATAATGAGAATGCGTCCAGTTTTTTAGACTTGCAAGACATGCATTATAAAATGAATGTTTACTCAAACAAAAAGTAAGGTTATTCTGGACTGCATTTGCAATCATATACTGTAGGGGAAAATATTTTTCCATATAATGGTTGAGTGCACAATGAAAATGATTGTGATTTTGTGCTTTAGCAAAAATCTCTTAAATAGTTAACTGCAAGTTAAGTTAATATAGTCTAAAAGAAAAAAAAACATGCGATTTTATTCTGTATTTATGAAAAAATGTTCAGTATGTATTTGTTAAATATATATATATAACAAAGCAAAATATATAATTTTTAGGTAAAATATTTTTGGGAAAAAAAATAAGAAAAATGTGAAACCTCCTTTTTAATTTATGGGAAAAGGGGCGTTCCCAAAATTCCCTGTGTGAAGAATCACATTTGATGATCTTTATTTAAAATTTAAATGTTATCCTTTTTGTTTATTAGATATGTGCAGTGAATTGTTTTGTGTTGCATTTATGATCATTGATATTTAATATTTATAGCATCATTTATTTTGTGATTTTAATTAATTACATTTATTGTTTGTGAGGGTAAAATTGTGCTTATGTTAAAATTATGTTATCATTGACCACAGTTGATGAAGAGACCAGTTTTGATGAACTTTAAGTAATTGTGTTGCGTTTTACAGTAAAAAGATTTTAATGGCTCATAAAGTTGATATACACTGACATACACAGTCACCAAAATGTCATACAGTAATGCCAGAAACATTGTCACTGTAATTTTGCGACTAAACTCTGGCAACCACAGCTGTCAGGGGATTTTTTTTAACTATAAATTTACATAACCCTATCCTCCATGCTGTTAACTTCATAATGCAATACTATATCATGACATTGGTGGAATATAAGATGAGTTTGTTGATAGATGATAAATGTGACTGAAGTCACATTGAAGGGCAACTGGGCCCTGACCATAATTGCATTTAAAGGTTTAGCTGTTCTCTATATCAATCAACGTTGCCAAAAGTTTGTCACACGTCTCCGTGTGCAGTGAGCCAACAGACATCAATTGTTCAAGCAGAGCCTTGGGACTTCTGATGTTGGCATTGCTCTTCTGTTTTGGGGGGAAGTGGCCAGTATGGATTGCATAACTGTTTATCTAGGCCAGGGTGTGTTTTCTTCGTCATCAGGTCTGTTTACAGCTTTATATCTTCCAACAGGGTGTTGGCACCAAATTGTTCGCTCTGAGAGGCTAGTGACATTGAGCAGAAAGACACTTTGTTCAGGGTTCATGTGTGGATGCTGGAGGAAATGTGTTGTATTGCTGCTTTAGTTTTAGTTTAATGTCAATATGATCTAGTTTTAGAAAATTATTGAGGCGCTTGAAGCAGGTGGAAGTGAATATTTTAAGCACACCCTCTACCTGTATGTGTTTTGTTCCAAGGGACAGCACAGTGTGAAGTCTAGCGCTGCTTTTCCTAACACATGGTGTTTAAAAATGAATCAAAACAGTGATAAATTTGTCTAAAAAGGATTTGGAGCATTATTTACATAATGAAAGGCAATATTAACTAAGCTTTAAAAATTACTTTTTTGAAGTTGTAAATAAAGATTATTGGAGTATGTTTTATAAGAAAATACTATTTTATTTATTTTTTTTACTTAAAAATTTCACATTTAATTAAATGTGTTACTTGCCGTTTCTTTGCAATTGTGAAATTTACTAGCAATTTCTGAGTGAAATTTTTTCTATACCAAATTTACCTATATGGAAATGTAATATATGACAAATATTGCCATATATCAGGATGATGTTGTCATATATGCTACCTATAAGGCAATATATAATTTTCACACATATACACATTATCTGGGTAGATAAAGATGTAAGTCCATAACATGTAAAATTCCCATAGTAAAATCTGTATATGCACTGAAAAAAAAACAGTATAGAAACAATTTTTTAACTGAAAAATTCAGTTAAATGTGAAATTTTGAAGTAGAAAGATTAAAATAGTATTTTCTTGCAAAACAAACTTCAATAATCTTAGTTTTATTTACAACTAAGTTAAATAATTATTTTTTATGGTGTACATATGTTAATAATATGTATATATATTTTTTTATAAATACGTGTGTATCTTTTATATTTACTTGACTAGGGTTTTAGGATATACTTGTGCGTGACATACTGTATATGTCCAAAAATGAATTACACATTCATAAACATATGTTTTTTTATGAGCTAGATATATAATGTTAATATATATTCCAATAGGCTTCATATATGTTTTTACTGCATATATGACAACATATTTCATATATGAAAATGTAATATATGCCCATATATTTTTTTGGGAGGGATGACTGTATTAAGTATTTATTTGATGTGATATGTGAATTGTATTGATATGTGGATTGTATTGTCATTGTTGAATGTTAAGCGAGACCAAAGACTAATTTTCAGCCAAGGCTGAACAATAAAGTATAACAAACAATATTACATTTATTTATGTGACTATACTGTTTCAAGACATTTTCCATTTAAAAATACAGAAATTTCTCTAAATCACTTCATGTTGTGTGATTCAGCGCTGATTTTACATTGTGACATGTACAGAAAAATCACATCAGTCAGAGATTATGATATAACAATCTCCTTAGTCTGCATATGACTTCATTGGCTGCGTGGACGCGCCGTATGTCAAACAGTCGAATGCGAATTGTCTGTTTGCAGTAATGTTCTCCTCTCTCGATGACTCTGGCGGTGACTAACGCCGTCCATGCTGTGCATACGGGCTGTGCAGATGACAGGCTCTAGGCATGCAATGCTAACATGTTCGGACTGCTCTGTGGGGTCAGAGAGAAAGTTAGCAGTCCACAGAAATGATTATGGCTGGTGGCTTTAAATGGATGGCTTCGTACAAGCTACCTCCGCTCCATCAGATTAGTACACTGGGCTTTATCCCTTCCTGAATGGGACACTCACTTTGGTTTTAAAGCTGTAATCCCCTCTGGAAAAGATGATTGCTTTGAACCTCCCGAACGCTGCTGCACTACACAGCCAACGCTCTGACACAAATATGACAATTATATAATCGTGAAGTTTTCGAATAATCATTTCAAACTTTTTTTATGGTAGTGGTATCCAGCAGGTTTTGTGGCGTCCTTAGGATTGCGTCACTTGTCTGTGTGCAATCTATGGCATTTACCCAGAATCGCGACATTTTCTAAGGGCAGACTTTCATCTTTTCAGAAAAGGACATGCGGTCTTTGATAACACAGCACATTTCATGGCTTGTTCTTCGTAACCGTATCATGTCTGCTGTGCCTCTTCTGCTTGTCACGGGGCAAAGCACGGGTTACATCCTTGAAAAGTATGTGCAGTATGCTTTTATGAGTGATTTTGCTGCTGCTTCGTGTCATGTTGTATTGTCATTGCATGCTGGCTTAAAGTTGAGAACAATCTTAGAAGGTTCACTCTCAGAAAGAAAAAGGCTCTTTATTGGCATCGATGCTTCCATGAAGAACCTTTAACATCCATGGAACCTTTCAAATGCACAAAAGGTTCTTTGTAGAAGAAAGAGGTTCTTTAGATCATTAAAATGTTCTTCACGCTAAGAAAAATGGTTCTTTTAAGAATTGTTCACTGAAAAGAACCCCAAATGGCATTGCTGCTATAAAAAAAAAAAAACAGTTTTGGAATCATAATTTTTAAGAGTGTTGGATATTTTTTGATGGTTGACCAAAGACTAATTTTCTCAGTTTCTACCAGTTCCTATTACAGTGTGTGTTTTTATGCTTTGACTGTCAATCACAACCTGTTTTATTTCAGCATCCTGATGTATTTCTAAATGAAATATGACTTCTCATTTCTATGAGAAGAAACGTGTATCTTTTGGGAATTGCTTGGCATGTGAAAAATATACCATTTGGAGCCAAGCAGTCGGAGGGAAGGGGTTTTAAAAGTAAAGATTCTTGATAACAGGCGAAAAGGAATATATTTGCAGAGGCAGAACAAGATATTACCTTCTGATTAAAGATTACAAAGACAAGCAATTTTTTTATTTCAAATAATGTGCACTGATGCATTGTGCACAATAAGACCAGGAATGTGCATTGAGAAAGTAAACATCTTTTTTTTTATATGGACCAATTTCACAGACTGTGATGTATTTACACAGTGGTTTTTAATGTTTTTATTTAATGTACACTGTTGGAAAAAAAAAGATCAGTGAAATCTACTTTAATAATGGCAGCTGTGGTTGCCAGAACTTTACCATAATAAATACAGTAGAAACATTTTAGGTTTTACAGATTGGATTTATAAAAAAAAAACAGCTGAGGGAGTGATGGCAAATTTAATATCTTTCTCTCTTCTGATCAACATAATCAGTCTCTCAATATCCGTCTTTTGGAAAGTCATCAAAACACTATCATTTTTTTTTTTTTCATTTAAAAATTTAATTTGTTGTACAGTAGTTTCTGTTCACAGCCATATTTGTTTACCCAACTATGATGACTTCCGCTTCTGAGAACCACAGAAATGTGAAAAGGGTCCATTACATGCTGACTTTAAGATGCATTTTAATAGTGATCTACTTACAGTATGTTG